TTTTATGAGAAAAAATATAATTTTTTTAAAAGCAAAATTGGAGTTTGTTAGACAAATAGGAGATTTATAAATTAGGATGTTTACCATCATGAATCTTGTTGAGCCATGACAGTGCTTTTTTTGAAGTCAAACAATAATCTTGTTGTGTCGTCACTTAACATTTTATTTGGTAACAAAGATAAAAATGGAAGGAAGTAAATGGAATAAGTGAGAAATTGAGAAAAAGTAAAGATTGTTTGGTACGAGATAAGTACGAAAAAACTGTAGGAAGATTAATTTTTTTATTAATTTATATTTGATTAAATAAAAAAACAAAAATAATGTCATAAATTATTTACAAATAATTCTTTTTATATTTAGATTATGTTTTTTTAGTTTTTTTTAGTAAATAAGTTTGTATGATGAAATTACTGAAGTTAACTTAGTGGTTGAGTTGAGAAAAATTGAGATATAATTAAAAGCATGAAGATTTATGTTAACTTTTTGTTATCCTTGTAATATTTTCTACAACGTGTGTTCTAAGGGACCAAGTCAAAGACAACCCTTGAAAGACCTCACTTACTTGTTTTAAGCGATTTCATTGGCCACTTAAAGTGAACAAGCCCAAACATGTGCATGAATTTGAGAAAATCCAACAATTAAATAACAACTTCGAATCCTCTCAATCCATACAATAATACATACATGCAAACTCAAGATCCTCCATATATTACCATTAGGGGTGTTCATGGATCGGTTTTTTGAAAAAACCGATCCAAACCGAACCGAACCGTTTTATAAAAGCGGATCGGTTAACTGATCCATTTTTTATAAAGTCGATCGGTTTGGTTTTTCTAAAATATGGATCGGTTTTTTTGAAATTGGATCGGTTCGGTGCGGTGCAGTTATCCACTTTTTTACTCACTATGGATCGGTTTTTTTAGAAAACCTAACCGAACCGAACCGATTCACTTTGTAAAAATGGATCGGATAACTGAACCGGTTTTATAAAGTGGTTCGGTTCGGATTTTTTTTCAAAATGGATCGGATTTTTCAATATGGATCGGTTCGGTTATGGATCGGTTCGGATCAATTTGGATTTTTTGCACACCCCTAATTACCATATGCAACCCATGAATTGAATAAAATCAAACATGCAACAACACACTAATCAAATCATTAAAAACTCTCCTTTTTCTTGAAGAACACAATAACACCAAATTTTATCACCAATCTCAACTTCAATGCTTAACGAAACATGAATCAACACGACAAAAACCTCATATACCACTTAGAAAAATCAAACAACTAGTTACCTTTACCTCGTATTTAAACAGAATGAGGAAGAATGAAGAAAAAGAATCAACTTTAAGCTAACTTTGAAAGCTTCACACCAACTTAGATTATCAATTCCTCAATTTGAACTCAACTTCTACTACGCCAACTAGTAATTGGGGGTAGAAAATGAATCTCTCGGTGAAATCAGATTAACAATCGGACTCCATTGGTCCCGAAGCACATCTTTCTCAAGAGTCGTGAACTTATTAAAATTATTTATTAGAATATGTCATATATATATATATATGTATATATATATAAATCCTCCTCACATCAACTTCATGCACTTAAACTATATCCTCTATCCTCTGTAACTTAAGTTTAGGATTATCATAACTTTCATGTCCACCCATACAAATTGCAAATAATAAAATAATATAAAATAAAATACTTAATTACATTCATCATTGTAAATATAATTAAGAAAACATGATGTTACATTTTTCCTTTTTAGAAAAACTAGTCACAATTTTTCTAGCAAGTCATTAATTTTTTCAAATACATATATAAAATAAAAATGCCATTTAAATGTCATTATTTTTAATTATTGTTAGGACATAATATTTTCTATCATGTTTTCATTATTGGTGCATTAAGAAAGTTGACTTGTTCAACTCGACTTAAAACCATTTGTCTCATGAGTTAAGTGAGTTAGGTTCAAATTGAGCTAATATTAGTGCAAAAAAAAATAATTTAATCCAACCTATTTTGAACTCGTGATAAGTTGAATTGACTTACTAGATTATACTCAGTTTAACACCTCAACCTAAAATATTAACAAATAACATTAAATGAGTACTAATTATCGCAATTTGTAACTATTATGTATAAAATAGTCAATGACATATCTTTATAATCACATAAACGAACATATGAGAACCAAAAAATAAAAAAAAAATAAAAAATAAATTAAGTGGGTCAACTCAACTTACCATGAATTAACTTGTGTTAAAGTAGACTAATTTTTTGTTATTTAAGTAATTTAAAATTTTATAATCCAACCCAACTCAAATCCATAATAAATCAAATTAGCTCACAAATTTTAACTCTTTCTCATGACTCTACCCTAATACTTAAAAAAAAAAGGATATAATTGTCAAAAACATGTCACTCCTTCAATTCTCCTTATTTTTCAGGGTAACAAAAATCATGTGGATCCCAATTATTTTATCCACTTTATTTTTCTTTTTTCTCATGCACCAAAAACACATGTAATCTCCTCAAATATTCATAATTTTGCACGGTTCCACTTCCTCCTTCTCCTTTAAACCCTTTTGTTACACCAAACGTGGTGTTACTTTGTCATTTAGAACCATTTTTGATGGTCAACCAAATTAAAAGGATTAAACTATTATCTTTTGTTTGTTTCGGCCTACCCTTATCTCCAAGTTTTGCTCTTCATCTTTTATAGTAATCTAAACCTCTATCCTCCTAATTCCTAACTCTTATAATTTGTCTATTGTTAATTTCATGGTATTAACTGAAATATTTATCAATTTTTTAATAAAAAATAGTGTTATAATATAACTATTTAATTGAAATTTAACTTATCTAAAGTAAAGGAGTACACTTCAAAAGATAAAGTATACTTATAATTATTAATTAAAAAAATCAACTATCAATAATCATGATAAAATTAAATACACATATTAAAGTATAACACTAATTATAATATTTATTGTTAAATTTTCAATCAATAATTATTATTATATTTCTAATGTGAAATTTCTTCACTTTAAGAGTCCAAGTCCATTTAATTGATTTGTTGAAATTGTTTAACAAAGATATTTGATAAAGAAATTATTTAACAAATGCAAATGTGCAACATAATAAATTTAAATATATTTATTAGTTTGTTTTTAAAAGCATTTATCAAATGTGAAAATCCCATATTCACAAGTCAACAATATAATAATATTTATAAAAAAAAATTAGCTTTAACACTACCTAGTTTGATATGGTGACATATATATATATATAAAGATTCATTTATTATTAGTTGACTTATTTTATTTAATAATTTATATTTTATATTAAATTTTAACAATTCAATAATTAAATATAAAAATATGTTGTTTTGTTAATTTAAATTGGTAGATAATTATAAAAATATTTTATAAATTAATTTGAATTTATTTAATAAAATCTTATATGATTTTTAAAATTTACAAACTTATTCTATATATTAAGAATTTTCAATTTAATAGTTAAATTATTAAAATTTGATGTAAAATATAAATTATTGTGTAAAGTAAGCAAATATACAATTAAGTAATATTGGTTCCTAAGTACACCTTTTTCCCAATAATGCTTAATTACTTAAAATAAATTATATTTCTAACATACTGTAATAAATACTTCGTACAACATATTTTTATTTATTTAAAGTCTATTTAAATGCAACCTATAAATAATTCTGAGAGTTTCTTTAATAATAATAATTTTATTAAATAAAAAACTCTTAAAAATACCTATAAACTCTTGGCCAACACTGACATAGAAAATTAGTATTGAAATAACACATACAATGAGGTGTGTTGTAATAAAAATGGGGTTATTAGTAAATGGATCCGTTGAGAAAGTGACGATGCAGCACCACAGGCATAAATTATTAAGCCTATTTGGACCCTCCCAACCACTTTAGGTGGTGTCAGTAATGGTAGTTGCACAGACTTAGCATCATCACACAGAATACGCCACTTACCAAATATACTGCCCTTTGCACTATCACACACAACACGCCACTTCTCCTTACCAAATATGCTGCAATTTTTTATCTTAAGGAATCAATAACTTACTGTTTCAAACCAAATATGTTTAGTTTTTTTCAAGCTAATTCTTAATTAAAATCATAAAAACAAAATAAGTCTAAAACTTGAGTTATATATATATATATAATTATTTTTCTTATTAGAAGGATTAATTCCCCTGCACAATAGATGTTTCCACTTTAAGTAAGTTATCTCTTTCGAGTGATATATTTAATTTTGAATTAAAAGTTTACATGTTAAAGGGATAACATTTATATTTATTATATACCATAATAAATTTAAAAAGAAATAACTTATTGAGCTGGCGTAGTAATTACGTGATTTGGACTTACACACTATGAGATGAATTATCTCTCAACTTCATTATAATTTATATGAACACGTAAATATATATAAATGGGTAATTAAATTTTAAAAAATATCAATATAGTTCTAAGAACGATTGTTGTCATTAGTTTATTCTATAAATCTAATTATGCGTAAAAAGTAATTTATAAATTTATAAAACTCATAGGCTTAAGTCATCTAAGTTGAGTTCTGTAAGATTCTGTTACGTGAAAATTTATGTTTAATTCTCTTTTTAGAAATACAAATACAAATATTTGATAATATTATCATTTATTTAATATATTTGAAGAAAAGAAATAAGCACAAATTCTTATGAATTCATTAGAGAAACGATTATTCTTCCCCTCTCTTTAGTGCGTGACATTCGCTAATGAATAAGTAGAGAATATATCAAAAGTCAAGAGAGAAACAGGAGAAAAAGGAAACATAATGTGGACACGCTGAATTTTAATTAAGAAAGTATTTTCTTAATTTTATTTTATTTATCATTTCACATTATTATTACATAAAATAAAATTTAAAAACTAAATAATATAAAAATGAAGCGCCATGTTTTAGTGCTGTGTGTTATTCCCAAAGCCGATACTTCCTTTTCAAGTCTTTTCTCTCTCTCATAAGAATCTTCCCTCTGCCTTCGTCTCTCTCTCTCTAGAAGTTCATCTTCTGGTTCGTTCTTCTCTGCGCGATTGGCGCGTCGACGAATAAGAGCGAACCCTAGGCAGCACAGCGAGGAGGTGTTCGGTGGAAGCTCAGATCAGCCATGGAAGCCGCAAGCCGCACTCCTCTGCGGTTCCTCTTCTCCGTTTCCGTAACCCTAACCCTCTTCAACCTCGCCGCCGCAAATTCCGAAGGCGACGCGCTCTACACGCTCAAACGGAGCCTCTCCGACCCCGACAACGTCCTCCAGAGCTGGGATCCTACGCTCGTCAGTCCCTGTACTTGGTTCCACGTCACCTGCAACCAGGACAACCGAGTCACTCGAGTGTATCATCTCTCTCTCTCTCTCTCTCTTTGTTTTATTTGTTTCTGTTTCCGTGTGGACGAGCTTTCATGATTGTTCGCCGCTGTTGCTTTAATTGATACTTACTGCTATCGGATATGCTTGCACGCTGCTGATTTTTTGAGGAATTTTTTTGTTATTTAGTGACTTTTGCTTATTGCTTTATGAAGTTGAGGGATCCTCTGCGAGGTTGCGTGATTCTCTCACTGTTCGTGGTTTGATTCGCTTGTTTTTAATGAAACAAACAACGCTGCGTGCGTTTTCGTCGATTTTACTTGATAATTTTGGAAGTTAACTTTCCAATATTGTGAATGATATCGTTGGGATTTATCTTAGTTTAATTTAATTAGTTTGTATTAGATTAGATTAGATTCATCTCTTTTCCGTGTGATTTTCTGGACGCGGAATTGTCGTTGCCTATCATGGATACGTACTATACGTGTATCAGTATTAGATAATCAGATACGATACCGCGATGCAATTGTTTTTAGAATATACAAGATACTATACGTGTAAGATACATGTCGTCTATAAGAGTTCATAAAACATAGTGAATATGTAACTGCAATTCTACGACTCCAAATTATGAACATACTTCTTGGACATTTCTTAAAAGAATGAACCATCAATTTAGTGCTTAAAGTATTACTCTCTTTTTCAAATAATTTTTAAACTAATGAAATTACATAAGTAGTACATGAAGTATTTAATATTCATCAATATAGTCCCTGTGTTGATATATTTTACTAACATTAAGAACCTAGTTTGATTTTTTTTCTTCCTATATTTGAGGGCTATGTAGCATGATCTGTAATACTTTAGGGACTACATATAATTTAAGTAGTTCAAGGACTATTTAGGAGAGAGGATGATACTTCAGAGATCAAATTGATGGTGTATTCTGTCTTGAAACAAAATAAAAAATTATCAATCTTTGTTATCATAAATGACTTCATAATCATATTGTCTATAGGACTAGTATCAATCTTATTCTTTTAACGAAATCACCCATAAAGAGGACAGTTTTCATTTTTTTGTTCATCAAGGAAGAGTGAATTTTTGTTTCTATATTATACATGATTCTATGTCTCATATATAGGTGCATAGGATTTTTATTTATTTTAAAGGCTTGGATACATGGCAAATGCATATTGGTGAAGTATCCATGGGTATCAATATTGAACATGTGTCAAATATGGATATGTGAAGCAAAATAAATTATCAGTTCTTCATAGGTTGTTGCTGTTAGTTTAATTGGTAACAGTGTAATGGTAACTAAAATGCATTGGATTGACTGAAGCTGTTAATATTCTCTCCATGTTTATGTTGATAATTATGGTACTTTCTACAGGGATCTTGGTAACTCTAATCTGTCTGGACATTTGGTACCTGAACTTGGGAAGCTGGAGCATCTACAGTATCTGTATGTTCTTTAATCTTTGTTTAGTGTTTTCGCTCATATTGTGATCTAGTCTGTTAGATGTGCTAATGTGGTTGTTAAAATGATTGATCTATTGGCATTTGGCATGGCTCTTTTATTGTTGCGGTTTGTGAACTATAGTATTTCATATTTGTTAGTGTTTAATGTGGTTTGTTATATTGGATGTAGTGAGTTGTACAAAAACAACATTCAAGGAACTATTCCTCAAGAACTTGGAAACCTGAAGAGTCTAGTTAGCTTGGACTTGTACAACAATAACATATCAGGCACCATCCCACCTTCGTTGGGGAAATTGAAGAATCTTGTCTTTTTGTAAGTCTATTTAATATTGTATTGAGCGTGACTGGAATATGCTGTGGCCTTTGCTTCTAGTTTCCTTTCATTTGAATTGCTTACAAGACTTTGAATGATGCAGGAGAAATACAAGAACCGTTGGATAGCAACTTATGGACTTTGGTGTTTTCAGCTATACATTTTATATATAAAGTTTGGGCACAGACAATTGTGGGTTTTGTGTTTGGTGTTAAGATGTTGAGCTGTAGGGTATATATTTGATGTTAAGACAGCTGGATTATGACAGTAAATCTGAAATTAATTGCTTCCATAATTCACATTCTCACCCAATTGTATCCCCTTCATAGGAGGAGTTTTAACAAAGTTTTTAGTTCAAAGGAAGGGAGAAGAGGGAAATATTAACTACCATATCTTGAGAGTAGACAAATAAAGTCATTAAGTAAATAAGGATAATTTAGTCCAATTAGTGTTAAAAATCTCTCCCCTCCAAATTCCCCCAATTTTTTTTTTGGGTTTGGGGCAGGGGGAGGTGAGTCAAAATTGAGTGTAGTGTCACTGTACTATTCTAGTACAACTCATTCTGTTTAAATTGAGTTGACTACAGTCCCAACATTCAGTAATATTATTCATTCTGTTTAATGGATCATGGCTAAGCCCAATCCAAAATCCTTGACAAGTCACTTGTCAGTGAATATCTATTGAAAACTATATACTATTTTTTAGGTGGTAAAATGCTTTAATCCAACTTTTAGCTTTCCAAGAGTCTGAAAATTCTTCAACCAGCACTTGGAAGCTTGTTCAAAATTTCAAATAAATAGCAATCTAAGTTAGTAGTCCCATTTTGAAGTGTTGGAAGCTGTTAGTATTTCTATATGATGCGGTGTAACTTACTAGATTCCTAATTGTTAAGATTTGTATTTAATTATTACTTTGTGGAATAAATTATTCAGGACTTGCATGTGTTCTCATTTGTGTTTTCATTGCAGACGACTTAATGACAACAGACTAACTGGTCCAATCCCCAAGGAACTTGCCGCTGTTTCAAGCCTTAAAGTAGTGTAAGTCATAGTGTTGTCTTTATATGTTGTTAAAATTATGATGGTATCATGAAGACACGTACTTTCAAAGAGCCTAAGCATTCACTTTATATTCAGGGATGTCTCCAACAATAACTTATGTGGCACAATTCCTACATCTGGGCCATTTGAGCATATTCCATTGAATAAGTAGGTCCCATTATATCTTCATTTCTTCTTAACTCTAAGCATGCAACTTTCTTATTCTACATGTTGTGCTATTTGTATTGGTTTTTTTCTGAGTCTTTTTTTTTTTTCTTCTCTGCCGCCCCTTTTAATAGTGTTTTTTTTTTTTTTTCTTCTCTGCCGCCCCTTTTAATAGTGTTTTTTTTTTTTTTTCTTCTCTGCCGCCCCTTTTAATAGTGTTTTTTTTTTTTTTGTTGTTGTTGGGGGGAAGGAAGGGGTAGCAGTGAGAAATCTAGTAAATATGTTTACCATTGGCTGCTATATGTATCACTATGTTGCATGTTTTTTGCTTATTGGGTAAGATGTTGTGGGTGTCTTGTTCACATTCAATTTATGCAGTTCCTGTTAAATTCTGATGATAATATTTGCTTCTTGTTTAGTGTGAGATGATGATGACACAGTACCTATGTGATTGACAATTTCCGATCGTTGGTTTCATGGGATAGTAGGAAGCTAGGAATGACAAATTTTGATTTAATTAAATCCCTGATGCAGCCACCTGCTATATGGGACTTGGGAGGCAATCCTGTTACGATGTATAGGTCATGACAGGGAATCTGATCGGATTTTATTGTCTTGTACAGTTAATTATAGTTGGTCTTCCTGCGTTTGATTCTGAATTCAATAAAAATTGGCCTTCTACATTCTAGCTATAACATATTTTCTGCTATATGGGTATTCTCTTTTCCTGTTATTTGTTGAATAAGCACTTTTTTTCTTTGTATGCTGTAGCTTTGAGAATAACCCCCGTTTGGAAGGTCCAGAGTTGTTGGGACTTGTAAGTTATGACACAAACTGCTCGTGAATACGTGATGCGGTAGGATCTCAATCTACGTTGAACTATGTGTATTCTAAAATTGAAGTGTATTACCTCATAGTGTAATGGGCAGTGGTAAATGTAATATCTGGTATATGTAAATTTACATACTTGAGAGCATTGGCATTTGTAACAGTATTATGATCTGACAGTGATGTTGAGACTTGAATATCTATTGATGTAATACTAGAAAAAAAAACTTGGTCACTGATAAAATATTTGTGACGCATTGCTCTCCATTTCATCTATTAACGCAATACTTGTCTGTTCCTTTTGCAAGCCCTGTTATTTTACTTGGGTCAATGAGAATGCACACAAGGAGAAAAAAATCCTCTGAAGATTGGTTACCCTTGAGAATTGACGGGTAACAAACTGGTTCAGGTTATTATTAGGAATATTCTTGTTTAACTTATCTTTCAAAGGTGGCACTTCTGAAGCAAATGATGCAATGAAAATGGTAAGCAAAACCCGAAAATAAGAGTTGTGTGTTACACGCGAATGGCTCCTTCAGTTAATTACTCAAAAGAGCATTAAATATCGTTGAGATGTTTGGGGAAGTGAAATTGCGGGCAGGTAGCTGTAGGCCGAAGGTGTAACGAACAATAATTTTGGGGAATGGTTTATAGGTTCTCAGGTTTCAAATGAATAGGCCTTGCCCTTTGGATACATTCATTGCCTTTGCTTCAATTGGAAATTAACCGGGGTAGCAAAGCTCTTTTTTTTAGCTAGATATAGTACTGTATCCTTTTCAAACAACCCTAACGATAGAGTACTCATTATAATATAGTTGAGAATTGGGAGCATTTAATAATCTACTTGTATGTTATGTAAAAAAAAATGAAGCTGAAATCAATCACGTCAATTAAGAAACGGAGTAAATATCATATACGTTTTTAACTATAGCAATGGAGAAAATTTGAACAATAAGAAATGGAGAAAATTTTGAATTCTCAAGAAATTTTAATAAATATTATAAATCTTTACAGTTTTTTCAAATCTAATAATTTTTTATAATATAAATTAATTAATTTAAATTTAAACTACAACATCTTGATTATTGAAGTATTTTAAAAAAATCTTATATGTCACTACCATTTTATATAATCTTTCAACATTCAAAAGATTTTTTTATTATTTATTTATGCAAATGTGTTCTAAAATTTCAATCCAATGAATTTTGAAAAAATAGTGAATAAATTATTATTTATTTATAAAATTAAATAGATGAATTGAATTCTTTATTATTATGTTTGATAAATTTACTTATGGATTGAATGGATAAATGAATTGTTTTCTCAGCCTACTATAAGGTGAATCATTGATAGAACAATTAACATGTGTCATAATCACGTACAAAAAGCTCAAAAATAAAATAAAAAGTGTTAAATTTAAAGTCATGATGAGAAGAAACACGAGTTTCTTCGTAAATTTAAATGGGGAATATGGCTATTCCTCTAACAAGATGCTTGTTCATCTCCCGGACAACTGAATGTAGCATATGTAAAAAGCTGTTAACAACTAACTCAAAGCAAAATTAGAAGAAACTAAGCAGAAAGTAATCAGGACGGTTATAACTATTCTTTAAGTATGTTACTGCTTGTATTTAATGGATTTTGATGTAGAAATATTAAGCGTTATTTTTTCTTCATTGAAGATAATTGATGATATTCTATTCTCTTTTTAGATAAATATTTTATTTTTATAGTTTTCATTGCAAAGACAATTATTTAGATGAAATATTTTAGTATCATTTATTTTAATATATATATATTTTTTTAATTTTGGTCCTTTTCAATTTCACCCCATTCCGCCGCATCCAAACAAGTTGTGAGTGAACATTTTTAAATTTCTAAAGCACATAAACAATTTTTACGTATAATATGCTCAAGATACCTTCTATTGCTGACATGCATAATTTGTACTTGAAACATTGAAAATGTTGAACAATTTTAAACATTAAAGCTATAATATAACTACAGAAAGTGTAAAAAAAATGTTGGTTCAGGAGCTTGGCCCACCCGGTCATCCTGGGCTGAAAGTGCAGCGGCCCATTTTCCCTCCACCGTTAGGAGACGGAAGTATTCGCTGCTCTGTGAATCCAGCCTCACGCTTTGCCCTCCAGTTTAGGAACCAGGAGACCCAAAGCCTTCACTCGAGTCCCATGGCCCAACTCTTAACTTGGAGCGGGCAGGCCTGCTATGTGCACCTACAAGCCCAACCAAGCGAAGCCCGAGACATGTTCCAACATCTTAGAGCCCCCACTAAGGTTACAAGCTAGAGTTACCAAGCTCGAGAATCTTATAGGCATGACCGAGTTTTATAAAGAATTGCTTTTGTAAGAAACTAACAAATGTGGGAGTTGTCTAAGTCTAAGGTCCTAGCCCAAGATGTCAGTGATGAGATAGAAATATATGTGATACAGCTGCCACCCGTTACAACAAACAATTATTGATCAGCTTTTAGATTTTCATGCACAAGAAACAAAGTATTGGGGAAAAATCCATTGAAGCCACTACATGCGAAACCAACTTGGATGTGATATACTGTGATCAAATGCCAAAAAGGAGTTGCAGCAAAAGCTATAACCATAGCGGCAATAGAGACAACAAGTAATCCCAAGAATCACCTTACAAATTATTTGTCATATCATGCAAGTTTTATCACCTTACAATGGTTTTATTAACTATTCAAAATTGTTGTTAGGATATGAATAAATTAAGTGTTAGTGTCTTTGCAAAGTGTTAATGGTTCAAGTATAATTTGCAAGTGCATAAATATTAACCACCTCACAACTGTATAGATATATGATGAATCGAGTACAATTGATACCATTCAAAATTTTTTGCAGTTGTAGTTATTTGTGATCCTTGGTGTTGTGTAAATTACATTTCTGCCCCAGAAACCCTTATTGCTGTTAGTAATTTCCATGAAAAGGGTTCAAGAAGTTGAACTATCTAATTTCATGGTTTACAAGAATGATGAATGTTATTTAGTTTCAAGCACAAACAAATAGAAAATAAACACATAAGCAAGAGGTAAAAGTGACAAAAAGGAAGAAAGCCTTTGAATAAATGAACTAAGGATCACATCTAGAGTAGTATGCTAAGTTGATTTTTGAATTATGAAGTAAAAAAAATCAAAATTTAAATTTTGGCTTTTGATCATCTCAATCACAATGACAATAACTTTTACATTACAGTTTCTGCTTTTAATCATCAAAGTCCCACCATCACAGTCCGGTATCAAACCTACTTATTTAATATATTAAAATCACACCAACATGTGTCAGGATGGCCGAGTGGTCTAAGGCGCCAGACTCAAGTTCTGGTCCTCGTGAGAGGGCGTGGGTTCAAATCCCACTTCTGACAATTTTTTTCCCAGTTTGTCTTTTTTTATTTTATTTTATTTATTTATTTTTATTTTTATTTATAAATATATTTTTTTAATTAATTAATTTATTTTTTACCCCACTCAATTTTTTATTTAACTCAACTCTTTCTCGTTTTTAAGGCCCAAAAATGCCCAAAAGTTTTATTATTAGACTTCTTTTAGAGGGAAAGTCGGAAATCTGAGTGCTAACTCAATAAATAATTAATTATATTTAATCCGTGAAATAAACAAGAATAATTTTATGTAACAAGAAACAAACAAGAATAAACTTGAAGTTAATCTCAGTTATTTAAATATGTCAATATCAACTTTTGTAAGCTCAAATAGAACACTGTGAAGTAAAGAGGAGAATACTATATTAAAATTGATAAAAATAAAAAATAATTTGTGAAAAGAACAAGTAATCTTCAATTGTTCCCTCCGGTACGGATGGCAACGGGCGGGGCGGGTACGGGTTTTATGATACCCGTTCCCGTTCCCGCGAGCTAAATATATTCCCGTCCTCGTACTTGTGCATGTTGAATATGTAATTTTTATCTTCATTCTCGTTCCCGTCGAGTATCGAGTATACCCGTACCTGTACCCGTCAAATTTTTTATTTTTTATTTTTTTTAAATATAATATTTTTAAATTATTTTTTTAATTATATTATAATTATAATTAAGTTATTTCACTATCTTATATTATAATAAATAATCACATACAAAAAAATATTAAAATTCTTTAATATAATTAAATTAAAAGTGAGTATTAAATTAAAAATAAGAACGGGGACGGTACGGGTACGGGTATAGGACGGGTAAGTACATACCCGTACCCATACCCGTACCCAATTTAATATATTGAGTTTTACCCGTACCCATACCCAGTCAAACTGTATATTCCCCGTCAAAATTGGGACGAGTTCAAGTATTACTCGCGAGTACGAGTATATTTGCCATCCATATATAGAGAGACAAACGTTCATTAATCACATCAACTTGATTGTGGGCCCCAGCGTACTTATAGTACCATTTTATAAAACTGGTCTATGCAAACTGCCATTTTTTACTACAGAACAAAAATTGCCATTATAAATCACTTTTTTAAATAAATAATGCTCACTCAAACAAACACGGTTTTACTTTACTTTCCTATGCAAAAAAAGAAAGAAAGAAACACTGTTTGTAGTGCATCTCTCACTATATATACAAGGCAACCTACAATGCCATAACCTATATAGTTGATCAAACCTTTTTAATTCCTTTTTTTTTTTTCAGTTCTAGCAACAGCATCTTCATCAATCCTTGACTCAAGCAAAAGCATCATCATCATCATAATGAGCTTTAAAGCTCTTACCCTGTGGCTGTGGTGCATTTGGCTGAATTTGTTTGATTTATCATTAGGAGCTGTGAGACACTACAAGTTCAATGTACAGTACATGATCCACAAACCAGATTGCATTGAGCACCTTGTCATGGCAATCAATGGTCAATTTCCTGGCCCCACTATCAGAGCTCAAGTTGGTGACACCCTTCATATTGCTCTCACCAACAACCTTTTCACAGAGGGAACACTTATTCACTGGCATGGAATTAGACAGGTTTTTATATATAGTGTGCACATTTTTTTTGTTCCTCTCTCTCTATCTCTCTACATATAGAGTAACTAATTTTTATAATTAACAAAATAACTATTTTTTATTCCCTCCTATCACTTTCTACACACAAAAATATAATTGATGAAAGGCTTATTTTTGTGCAGTATGGAACACCTTGGGCAGATGGAACTGCTTCCATTTCACAGTGTGCCATAACCCCTGGAGAAACTTTTCATTATAGATTCACAGTTGACAGGGTATACAAACCTAGCTAATGATATAAATTGATAGTTTAACTTTTGTTAAATAAAGTATTAACAAAAATAAACCTAGCATCTATGATAGTCTTCTACTGTTATGTTATGCGTGTGATGGTCAATGTGCAAATTTTAAGCAATTGTTGAATTAATATTCATGGTACAGCCAGGTACATACTTCTACCATGGACACTATGGTATGCAGAGAACAGCAGGGTTGTATGGTTCTTTGATAGTGGACTTAGCAAAGGGTCAAAAGGAACCATTTCATTATGATGGTGAGTTTAACCTTTTGTTGAGTGATTGGTGGCACGAAAGTACACAGGTGCTAGAGGTTGGCCTCTCCTCCATCCCATTCAGATGGGTTAACGATCCTCAGGTAAATTAAGAGTATGTTTAGATATAAATTAAAAATATTTTAAAGAATTTTTTTATTAAAAAATTTCTTAAAAACGTTATAACTTGTACTGTGTTAATCTATTTGAATGATTATTATTTCCTAATGAAGAAGCTAAAAGAATCGTTTTTTTTAAATAAATTAAACTAAACATGTAATAATTTGCTGTTGTCATAGGCGTGCTATCTACAATTATTTCCTTAACTATATTTTTTAACATTTCATCAAAGAAAGAATGTCATAACCCACACTATACTTTGGATCCATGCATCACTGCTATATACAATTTTTCTGCAATTTGATTAGAAACAATTAATTTATCATCTTCCAAACATTTAACCTTTTCAGTCTTTGCTCATTAATGGAAGGGGACAATATAATTGTTCCATGGCAGCTAATCTTATCAACACCACCCTACCCCAATGTAAGTTTAAAGGTGGTGAAGAATGTGAACCCCAGATTCTCCAAGTTGATCCAAACAAGACCTACAGGATCAGGATTGCCAGTACCACTTCCCTTGTTTCTCTCAATTTTGCCATTGCGGTATGTTATCTTTATTATAATTAGTTCCAATTAATATGAATGATATCTACCCATTTTTGGCTTAAATCTATATATAGGTCAATAATTTTCACTTACTTTTTTCCCTATACTTGTAGAATCACAAAATGGTGGTGGTGGAAGCCGATGGAAACTACGTGCAACCATTTACCATAGACGACATACACATACACTCAGGGGAGAGCTACTCAGTTCTAGTAACTACAAATCAAGATCCAAACAAAAACTATTGGATATCAGTTGCTATTTCAGGAAGAGAAACCACCCCTCAAGCATTAACCATACTAAACTACAAAACAGTCCCTACCACAATTTTTCCTTCTTCTCCACCTTCCATGACACCTCAATTTGATGATTTCAATCACACCAAAGCATTCACTCATAAAATTCTTGCCCTTAAGGGAACCCCACCACCTCCACAACAATATGACCGAAGACTTCTCCTACTCAGCACAGAAAACTTAGTTAATGGATATGGCAAATATGCCATTAACAATATCTCCTTAGTGTTACCAACAACTTCATACTTAGGTGCCATTAAGTACAAAATCGGTGGTGTGTTTGACCAGAACCCCCCTCCTGAGAACTTTTCAACGGATTATGACATCTTTAACCCCCCAATGAACCCTAATTCAAAAACTGGGAATGGGGTTTACATGTTTGAGTTGAACCATGTGGTTGATGTGATACTCCAAAATGCCAATGCATTGAATGGGAAAATTAGTGAGCTTCACCCTTGGCATTTGCATGGGCATGACTTTTGGGTTTTGGGGTATGGAGAGGGAAAATTCAAAGCGAGTGATGAGAGCAAGTTCAACTTGAAGAACCCACCATTGAGGAACACTGCAGTGCTATTCCCTTATAGTTGGACTGCTTTGAGGTTTAAGGCTGACAATCCTGGTGTTTGGGCTTTCCATTGTCACATTGAACCTCATTTGCACATGGGAATGGGAGTGGTTTTTGCTGAGGCTGTTCAACATGTGGATCATATACCTGGCTCCTGTGGATGCTATAGAATCTAAGAAGATGGTCATGAACACGAAACATAGTTGAAACTAATTAGTTTTCATTTGTGTTTGCCATTAATATGATATCTCATGCACGTGTTTTCTTCCCCGTGGTCATCGTTTGTGTTAAATTCACCAATAAAATTTGTAGTTCTTGTATTGTATTTCATCCTATCTTCATAATAGTTTGTGTTATATTGTAATTCAACACAGTGTAATCTCATATATTTGTAAAAGTAAAACTTTTTAAATAATTAGTTATATATCAATAATATATATTTTAATTAATAAATAATATTTTGTATTAAAGGATGAAAGGAGAATCATTAGGATAAAGTAAAGTGATCTAGTAATGAGGGAAGGATCTACCCTACTTTTGAACAAACGGCTTTTAATTATAGGCGCCTTTTGATTATGTATACTAAAATTTGTGACCAGTGAGATAAGGGTTTTGTGAAGTTGATGAATTTGGGAGCATAATTGGAGAAGATATATAAGGGAAGCTCTAGAAAATATATGATAGATTTGCCAAAGTGACAAAAAGAGACATTCCATATTATGATGGAGAGTGCAGCCTTCTACTGAGTGATATTGGTAGAAAAAACTGATGAGCAAGGGGATTAATTAACAAGGAGTTAATTCATCTCAACCAGTAATTTTGAATTTGAATTATAGATTTGCAGTTAAATATTCAAAAGAAAAATTTTGTTATTTATAATGATCCATTTAACTCGAACACAATTGTCTTTGATCAAATATTCTGATGATGTAAACTTAAAAAAAAAAATTGTGGTCAAAAGCACACATGAGCAAAAAAGATTAGCCTTGTGATACATTCAAGAAACAAATGGATTAATCAACCTCGGGTACACCAAACAAAACACACATCATGTAATGTTTTAGTTTTCTTCTTTAATGAGGTATATAGTGCAAGAACATATCATATGTCAGCTTATGTACCAATCTCTCGCAAGTGATGTAAAGATATAAAAATAGAAGGTGGGAATAATTTGAACGTATGGATCTAAATTCATTACGTACGGTTCAGAATCTAACCCCGAAAGCGAATTAATTAGAAACACGTGTTGTTCATCTCCTGAGCAAATGAAAAGAAAAAAAAAACCATAAATGGACTGTACAGAGGAGGTATATATCTGAATTTTGCACAAACAATTAAACACCAGTGAAAATGGAAGATTTTAAGTCAATTATTTTGAGATTACAAAATTGGTTGATTTTATTTTGAGCGACATTGTAAAATTAATCTTCTCTATATATACTCTCCTGTTCAATTTTCAACCAGAGTTGTCTTCGCTTTATATGTAATTAAGGAATTTTTAATTAGAACATTTTTTTGTTTAATAAAGATTAAGGAAATATATTCTCTTTGTTTTCCCATCTTAATTTGGAGTATGTAAACTAATAAATATATACTTAGTGATAACACAAACTAATTAAATACATACTTATTTAGTTTAGCTTGAAAAAACAGTACTCATTTTTACTATATTTTTAGAAGAAGAATCTTCAAAAATTAATAACTCTATACCCATATATAAGTGATTCTAAATATAAATTAATCGTGGGATAATTTTAACTTATCTTAAAAAAATTGTTTTTTAGAAACTATTAGATAGAATATTTTAAAAAATAAGTCTCTATTTTCGTCTAAATCAATTTCAAACAAACATGCACCGAGACATGTAATTATAAATTTTAAGATAGATGTTTTATTGTCTTATATATAACGGGTTATTTACAGTAGAATATGTAAACTAAACGAAAGATAAACTGTTGAGCTAGTTCAATGGTGGGAGTTGGGGTGATATAAGATGTTAGTTAAAATCTTATTATTGTCATTTAACTTTTATTAATAAAAACTAAAAGAAAAATATTTAAAAAATAAAATAAAAAATAATTGTTTTAAATTGAATAATTAAAACTAGACATGATTGTTTATGAAAGGTCTTGAATTGTTACCATCCATCAAAATTTTCTTTCAAATATATTAGTAACTTAAAACTTTATCATGGGCCTGGGCCTGGGCCTGGGCCTGGGCCTTAGCATATATAAGTCAAAGAAGAGAGTGTAGAAGAAAGTTTGATGGAGGCATTAGGTGAAAAGTGAAAACTTCTCTTCCGTTGACGGGTCCTTTGTCTGTACAAAAGGACAAACTTAGCCTTTGTTTATTAATTATTAGGGCCTCAAAATGAAATGGACAAAAAATATCTCAAAACAAATTTAGTTCACACACAAAATAGTGCACATTTTTATTTAAATATTAAAGAAAACATATACTTATAACATTTTTAATATAAATTTAGAAAGTATTTTTAAGAATTTTATATTAATTTTAAAAAAGACATATATATATATTTTTTAAAAAAATATTTCTAACTTTATCTAAAAATATTCTTACGTGTATATGATTTAGCTTTCGAAATTCTATAATTTTCACCGCCGCAAAAATGATTTGAGGAATACATTGGTGAAAAATATATATAAATCTATTTCGTTTTTTTAGTTTCTTATAATTTTTTATATAGAAAGGAATGAAGTTTACTTCGTTCTGAAGCTAGACTCCTTTTATGACGAGGAAAAACATTTTAATTAGTGTTCAACATTTTAAGTATATATATATATATAAGCTTGAGTTATTGTTTTGAAATGTAATAATAATTCAAATTATACTAAAATAATATAACAGCATATTTAAAATATATATTAGATTGAAATTTCAAAAAAATCTTAAAAGACTTTTAATGTAAAAAAGTTATGTGATATTTAATTTTTTTATTTAAGAAAAGTGCTAGTATTTAAAAACAAATATTTTAATCGATGAATTTGGTAAGATTTTTTAATATAATTTTTATATAATTCATTCATCTATCGATCTTATAAAAGTTATTGGGATTTTATTTTTGTTTTATTTATTTATCTTCTTTTTCTTCTCTTTAACTCTTTCATCTTCTTCTTTTTTCTCTTTCTTCTCTTTATGTCTCTTCCCTATCTTGTCTTTTTTTTTTCCTCTTCTCATATATTCTTTCTCATTTTATTCATTTCTTGCTGATTTAATTCTTTTTCTACCTCTTTTTCTTTCTATTTTTTCTTTTGTCCTATTTTTATCTATCAATATTTTTTAATTATATTTTTATCTATCAATATTGATATATAATTTATCAAAATTGGTTTTTAAATTATTAAATATTTAAAATTATTTTTGAATTATTAAATATTATATATTTTTAAAAAATTAAAATTAATAAAATTAAACAAGTGCTTATTTTTAATAAAATTTAATATTAAAATATCAATTTTTAAACATATATTAAAAATATATTTTGACAATTTAATCAGTTAATAAATATCATAAATTTAAATATATTATTCAAATTTAATAGTATAAATGAGAAAATATAAATGTATAAAGGATTGTATATAGAAAAATGTTACTCAAGATAACATGAAATCAAAATCAATTATTTATTAGAAAATTAAAAATTTTATTAATTTAATTTTTTATTTGAATCTTACCATTTTTATATAAATTTTATTATTTTTTAAAAATTCATATTATCCTTTAAAATCTAATAAAATTATATTACAAAATTTTAACTAAAAAATCTTTTAATTTTTTTTAAAATTATTATATTCCTACAAAATCTTTTAAAAAAAATCTTAAAAATTATTAAATTCTTACAAAAGTCTTTTAAAATTTTCTATTTTTTTAAAAAATATCTTATAAATGAACTAGACTCGATACCAAAACAAATAAAGTAAGGATGTTATATGATTTTTGACATTTTAAAAAGTATAATTTGGAAACAATGAGGAATCTTCCCCTAATTCTGTTGGAAGTCAATCATGCAAATGTTTATTTTGTTTTATTTTACTTGAAAGGAGAGAAGAATAGTGGTAATGGACTACATCAATGTTCCATTCCACCGAAAGTAGAAAGAAAATGAAGAATGAGTTTTTTTTTAAAGAAAATTTAAATTATTCTATATATATATATTTCATAAATATTTATGTTATTTTATTCATAAAATTTAACTTTTTCCTTTTATTTTATTTTTACTAAACAACGTAAAAAAATCATTTTTTTTCTTCTTATTTTCTCTATTTTTGTAAATCAAAATACCGTAAAAGTTTATGATACTTTTTTTGTCTATGTAAACTTTTTATTAATAAGGTTAAAATATTATAGTTTTGCTTGTGTGAGACCCCGTGAACCCTTCTCTTTCTTTTCTTAACTCTCACTCACTTCTTATTACTCACTCTTGTGTCTTGGATCCTTCTTTCTTACTATCTCAAGGTGGAGGTGGTGAGTAGGTGCTGATTTTGTTGTTGAGCTGTGTGGAGGTTAAGCTGTTTCCTTTCTCCTCCGACTTTCTTCTCCTCCGTTCATCGTTCTTCTCTTCCCGGAGCTCGGATTCTCGTACCGAGATAAGGGAAGCTAGGTTTTTTGGCCGATTTTGTTGAAAATGAGTTCTTCAACTCATTGTGTGACTGATTTCTTGAAGATTAATGGCTATGGTTGTTGAAAATTCGTTTTCGGGGTTCTTCGGGTGTGGGTGAAAAATTTGGGGATTTTCATGATTTGAGGTTGCATGTTGAAAATGGGGTGTTTTTATTGACGTTTGTTGAAAATGTGGACTATTGGATGGATTGCATGTTGGTTTTCTGGTTGATTTTGCAGGGTTGGATGAAAATTTTGAAAGTTTGAGGGTTGCTATTGGGTATCCCGCCGGGCCCCGTTCTTCGCGCCGAGCGCTTGACCATCAGAGGGCTCCATTTGGGCAAGCTGCCGGGAGCAAAGGTGTGTGCGCCGGGTGAGCTTGAGAATGTGAGCTTCTGGATGGCCCACGTCAGGCGTGACTTGGACCGCGCCGGGCGCGATATCAGTGAGTAACAGGTTTTTGGGTTATTGGCGTGGTGCCGGGCGCGACCATGTCGCGCTGGGCGTGGAGACTCCTTGGGAGTCTCTGCCAAGGGGGCGCCGGGCGCAATTTGAATTGCGTTGGGCGCGAGACCTTGGGGGGGTCTCTGCCTTCCCTGCGCCGAGCGCGGGTTTAGGCACGCCGGGCGCGTGAGACTCCTTAGAGTCTTTGCCTGGGTCTGCGCTGGGCACAGTTGATATTGCGCCGGGCGCATTTTGAGCCTTGAGCTCTCTGGCTAGTCTGCGCTAGGTGTGAGTACTCTTGCGCCGAGCGCTCTGGCCCCTAGGGCTCTCTAGTTGTGCCACGTCGGGCGCGACCATGAGTGCGCCGGGCGTAGAGGTGTTGTTTAGCCAAATGCTGTTAGATGTTGTGAAAAGCTGACAAATGTTATTTTATGCCGAGCTGAGCTGCTATTGATTTACTATTGTTGTGTTGTTAGATGATAAATGTTGGATTATAATATTGCTGTGCTGTGAGCTGTCTATGCTGTGCTGTGTATTGATTTGTCGTGTTGTAAGTTGATATTGTTGTTAAGCTGTGCTGTGCTGTATGCTGATATAAATTGTTGTAGGCCGTAAGGCTAAGCTGTTGTAGGCCGTAAGGCTGAGCTGTTATAGGCCGTAAAGCTGAGCTGTTGTAGGAGATCTCCGAGCTGATATGCGTGACGACGCATTGTGTGCTTATTGTTGTTTATGCTGTGTAGTTGACGAGATGTATGTTGATGATGTGCTGATAGTTGTATCTGTTCATAATTTCTATATATGTTTTACATGCTGATTCTTTTCACTAGTTTACCCTTTGTTGTTTCCATGTGTTTAGAAAGAAGATAACCAAAAAAATATAAATTTATTACATTCTTAATATAAATTAAAATTTGGAAAAAACAAATTAAGTAAATAATTAAAAAAAAACGTTAAAATTAGTGGCGCTATGGCCTATAGCGACACTGTGTCGCTATAGACCATAGCGCCACTATTTTTGACATTTTTTTTTAAATTATTAACTAAATTAGTTTTTTCTACATTTTAATTTATTTTATGAAATTCATATAAATTTATGGC